GCAACACCGGCCAAGTCTTTGGGAAGTCATCACGGTCGGGAAGAATATATCGAACGCGGACGACGTCTTCAACAGATGCGCCTGCGTCCTTGAGAGCCGCGGCGATGTTGGCCAGGGTCTGGTCCAAATTCTTTTTTTTATTAATAAGATCTTTTTTTTTTTTATCTCTATTTTAAGAGCCTTAAGTAAAAAAAGCTCTTTTTTAATAAAATTAATCCTTATATAGGTATAAGAATTAAATATAAAGAAGCTAAGTAAAAGAAAAAAAAGGTTATAATTAAAGATCGCGAGCTTAATTAATATTAAATCGCTAAGTAATATACTTAAATTAATACTCTAAATAGCTCTATATAAGATTATCTCTTATAGCCTATTATAAGTTTTTTTATGCCTTTATAAAGCTTATAAACCTCTTTAATAAAGTTATCTTAATTATATAAGAAGGCCTATTAATAGGTATTAGCTATATTATTATAATTATTTAATTAAAAGTCTTTTTAAAAGGTTATTATAATTTTCTTTTATATTATTAATTAATTAACTAATTATTAATTAATTAATTAATTAATTATAGTTATTAATTATAATTTTTAGTTATTAATTAAACCTCTTCTTATAAGGATAATAAAAGTATAATCCTTTAAGATTTATATTTCTTTAAGTAATTAAGAATCTTAAGGATAATTAGAAGGTTAATAATAGAGGGGAGAGCTATTATAAGAAGAGGTTAAATATTAACCTCTTTAGCTAGTTAAGATATAATCTATTTATTATAAATAGAGCTATTATTAAAGGTATTAATAATTATATAGATAAACCTTATTAATTCAAGCCTATTAAGACCTTAGGCTTTAAGTATAGAGCCTTTATTATTAAATTTATTAAGATTTTAATTAAGATATTTTAATCCCTTTTTTAGGTAAAATAAAGTTAAATAATAATTATTTAATCTTAAGGTATTTTATTTTCTTTTAAGAGCATTATTAATTATTAAGTTTAATTATAATTTTAATATATTTAATAAGAATTATAACTTTATTATTTTTATATTACTTTTTTTATATTTATTTCTTAAGTTTATTAAAAAAAAGAGATATAAGAATATTTTTTTTATATAAGCTTTAAGATAAATTATTAAAACTTTAAGATATATTTAAATATAGATTTAATTTATTTAAGAATTTTAATTTTTTATTTAATTCTTTTTTATTAATAGTCTTAAAGGCTTATTAAATAGCTATTTTAAATTTATTAAAGTTTTTATAAGTTATACTAATTTAAGATATAAGATTAATAAAAGGGATTATAAGGTATTTTTTTATAATTAATTTAAATTATATAATAAAATATCTCTTAAGTCTTTTTAAGATATATTAAATTTTAATAATTTTAAAGTTAAATTAGGTTAAATAATATATAAAAAGACTTAATAAAAGATTAAAAAAGCTTATAATTTATATAAGGTTTTATAAATAGGTTTAAATATATTTAGCTTTAAGATTTCTCTAATATCTTTTTTAGCTATTATAATATCTATAAGTTAAATAATATATTAAGTATTATTAAGGTATTATTAATTTTAAATATATTAAATTTCCCTTATATAATTTATTTATACTCTAAGCTTATTTATCTTAATAATTATAATAAATATTTATTTATAAAGTTATTTAATTCTTTTATTATTTTTATTAAAATTATTATTATTATTATTATTTTTTATTTCTTAATTAATTAAAGGCTAAGATATAAGAAATATAATTTATTATTTATAATTAATAAGAATATTATTAGGTATAACTTAAGTAATTGTTATATTAATATTACTTAGAGTATATAGGGATTATTTAAATAAGAGCTATTAAGATTTAATAATTAAGTTTTAATTATAAATAAACCGAGGGTTTATTATTAACAAATAAAAGTAATATATAAATCTAAGTAAAAAGAATTATATTTAATAATATATTAATTAAGGATTAAAGTAATTAAATATTATTAATAATTAAGGTAATTAAGTATTTTATCTAATATATAGGGAATATATTTATATATATCTATAAGCTCTAATAGATTATAAAAGGTATTAAATTATAGTAATTTAATATAAAATATAATCCTTATATAATAAGCTAAATAAAAAGGAAATTTATAAGGAGGGATTTAATATTATGAAAAAGAGAAGCTAGGCCCTAATAACCTATAACCTTAGGCTATTAGGCTAAAAGGTCAGCTGTGCGCATCTTGGTTAGAGGCTCACAGGGGAATTAGGCTCTATAGGGCATTGCCTGGCCATAGGGGCCTAACATTTAATATATAATAAGACTATAATTAAATTATAATATTTAATATTAAAAGCTTTAATATAAAAAATACTTAAAAAATTCTTTATATATATATTGTAATTAATTATAATATTTTTTAAAAATTAAATTATTAATTTAATTAACTATAAATAACTTAAAAAGCTTTTTATTTTAAAATTAAGTTATTAAAAATTAAGTAAAAAAGACTTATTAAATATAACCCCCTGTTATATATCTTTATATAATAAAATAACTCATGGCTTCTTAATAAGTAATAAGTTAGGAGAAAAGCATACTAAGCTATTTTAGGCTACTAAGTAATTTCTTATATATAGAAAAGGAGGTAAAAGCTATAGAGCCTTACCTCTATTATGACTTTTATAGGCCTTAACTAAAGGGCTTTTTAACTCCTTTAAGGGTTATATCTTTATTGCTATTAACTAATTAATTACTCTTCTTATTTTATATTATATCTGCTTTATAAGAAAGTATATGAGATCTCTCTTTTCAAAAGACCTTAAAGCACTTGCGTGGGAATTCCGCCCTTTTTGGCTGTGTGGTTTGGTGTGTTCTGTTTCTCTAATAAAGTAATAATCCCTTAACGCCCTCAAACATTTCTCAGATACTCTTCCGCTTGGCTGCGACTGGGTAATAAGGGTAGGCGACGCTGCAGTATCTAAGGTCAGCAAGGTCTTTGGCTGATAGGTTCTCCGTCTGGAAGCGAACTCTTAGAAGACCTTTTCGGCGTCAAATTTATCAGTGGCTTCGCTAATCACAGCCTGACCATGTTCGACTGAGCGAGCGAAGCTGAAAGTCACCCAACGTCAGATGTGGCTGAGTAGCATCGTCAGCCAGACGGATGACTGCGCCTTTTTAGAAGCATAAGCACAGCCTCACCACCATCTCGCACTCGCTTCGTAGAGAATCAAGTCCGTTTCAGCGAGTCCGTTTCAGCTCTATATTTGTCGAGTATAAAATACTAGAAGAGCCGCCATTTAATCACTTCTCAAATTCCACTCCTTCGATTAACTACAAGCTCACTTTTCTTAACTTAACGCCACCGACAATCTGAGCGTCCATCCTTCATCTCGAAACCAGTCTGTTTCGCACAATGTCACTACCGACCGAGTTATGCGAGTGGTGCGACAAAATCTTCTTCGATCCAGAAACTCTCTACTATCTGTTCTGGGAGACCCGCGAGATTACCCACTACAGCCTGGGTCCTGGCTCCCGGGTTCAGAACAGCTCCTGTCCGTTCTGTCTGCTTGTAGCCCAAACCTTTTACGGCAGTCACAAGACGCTCGCAGAGATCGAGGATGTGGAAGTCTCATGGCAAGAAACAGTTCCCGGTCGCCGGGCGTTCCAGGTCTGGGGATCTAGGGACGATACGTATATTGCATTTGCTACGGAAAGCGCCCCAGGCGACGTCTCGAGGCGCCCGTCTGCCTCGCGTGGGACAAGACTGAGCTACTATGTCGAAGAAACCACGAAGCCCATGATTGATATTCATCGCATATTAAGTTGGATTTCTTCGTGTGACGAGCTTCACCGAGACAAATGCAGCCCTCCGGCAACCCTATCGTTTCATGACGCTTACCGACGCTTGCCTGTCATACGATTCATCGATGTCAATGCCAACTGCATCGTTGAGACCACAAGTCTGGTCCAATATATTGCATTGAGTTACGTCTGGGGAGCTGTGCCCAGCATCCGGCTCACTAAGACAAACAGATCTCCTTTGCTCGAGCCGGGCTCCCTTGAGAAGCTTGTAGACTTGGTTCCCTGGACAATACGAGATGCTATTGTCCTCGTTAGAAATCTTGGTTGCCGGTATCTATGGGTAGATGCCTTGTGCCTCGTTCAAAATGATGAGGAGGATCTCCTTAGAGGCGTCAATGCGATGGATCTGATATACGAGCGAGCCTGGCTCACCATTGTGGCCAGCTGTGGCTACAATGCAAATTTCCGTCTTCCAGGAGTTCAAGAGGGAACGAGAAAGGCATGCACCAATACGGTTGAGGTTACACTCGGAACCAAGCTAGGCGTTATTACGGAACTAGACGAGTTGCTCATGGGAACGGTATACGAAACCCGGGCCTGGACGTATGCATATCTACCTTGTCGTTATCTCAGACTACCTAAGCTAATATCTTCCAAGATTCCAGGAGCGACTCCTATCTCACCGCACTCTCTACTTTGTCGACGAGCAGCTGTTTTACCGCTGTCGAGGAGCAGATCAGGCTGAACACTACGCGGATATCCCAGCACAGAACGAGGAATACCCAGCAGTGTCAGCAACAGCAGCGCTATCGCAAGCAATACTCCTACATAACCCACCAACCGATTATAGACACATGCTTTTCCATTACAGCAGGCGGCTATTGACAAACCAGAATGACGCGCCCCGGGCAATGGCCGGCATCATGAGGCGATTCGCCGAGGCCTTGTGCTGCGAGTTCTTCCAGGGAATACCCGTGGCCTTTTTCGATTACTTCCTCGTCTTCCAGCCATTCTATAGCTTTCTGAACCGGCGCTCTACCATGCCGAGTTACTCGTGGACAGGCTGGCAGGGAAGCATTACATTTCACGCGACCTCGCCCGAATTATACGATATAGGCATCCCCACGGGCTACCTCCAATTAGAACCCGAGTACAACGAAGAATGGCTCGACAAGGCGACTTGGGTAATCTGGTACAAGAGGAGTCCATCTGGAGTCACTAGTCTGGTCTGGGATCCTTCTGCGAATACCGATCCGGCTGACGAGACCTCTGGGTATCGCAACTGGTCACTCTTTAATGACGGTGGCCGCTGTGTTCCGCTAGGAACTGATCCTACCCAGACGGCACCGTCTCAAGCACTATCGTTCTCCCGAGAGCCACCCCCCTACCCTATGCTACAGTTCTGGACGATGTCAGTCTTTTACAACATTACTGATGTTGACGTATTCAACGGGGTAGCTGACATAGAGGATTTCCATGGCGAGAAATGCGGCCGTGTCGGTCTGGACGCCTTAGAGGATCTGGAGCATTTCGACTTTACACGGCCATTCCAGTTTATTCTTCTTTCAGAGTGCTGGGCACCCAAGAGCATTATCGAGGAGAGATTGGCAGAGGAACAGGATGAGGATGACAACAATGCTCCAGAAGAGGACTTGAAGTACTATAATGCCTTGCTTACAGAGTGGCAGGGGGGCATTGCGGAGAGGCGGGGTTTTGCTGTTATACTTCAAGACGCCGTGGAGAATAGTCTGCCTCCAGGCCCAGAGTGGAAGGAAATATTACTCGCATAACGCATAATAAAATAGATCCAGAGTTAGGTATTATAATTTAACTATGACCCTACTAAATAAAAAACCATCCCTATAAATTACTTCTTACCCTAACTTATTATATAAGACCTTAGTTCCCTACGTATAGAGCCCCTTATATAATAGAGGTATTATCTCTCCTTTAATTGCATACTTAATACCCCTTATAATTATACCCCTGATGCTTAGCATCAGCAGGCAAAGGACTATGTTAAGGCTTAAGAGGTAAATAGGGGGATAAAGGCGTTTCACATGGAGATTATTCTAAGAGCTTGGTGGGAACGCGTTTGTTTGGAACTGTTCGACTATTTGCTTTAACTACTATGGGGCTTGGGGTGAAGCGGCGAGTTAGATATGCAGCTTTGAGGTTGTACTTTGCCGGGATGTGGTTTTTTGCAATCTGATGCGTTCCATGACAACGCTGGAGAGAGAGAGAGCGCCGAAGAGGATATGCAACGGATGTGAACCGTTTAGGCCCAGTCCCAAGTGATAGGGGCACGGCCAACTTGGAGGGAACCAAAAAGCATCAAGAAGGCGGCGGGTGTGAGGTCAATGCTACCCTCCGTGCACTCTGGGCATTTATCGGCAACCTGAACGACGATCTGGCGGCCATTGCCCGTGACGCGGATGTAGCGGCCACAAGCGTCGGGGACTTGCGCGAACAGGAGCGCTGAGAGGGCGACGATTATGTCATCGTCAGAATGGACCGGGCCACAGGAAGTCTTGCCAGGGTGGTAGTAAGTAGCGTCACCCGAGAAGCGAGCATCCAAGGCTGGGGTGGCGCTGATGAGGAAGGGAAGGGCTAGGAGAAGAGTGGCGGTCCACTTGGTGAACATTTTGATGGTTGTTTTGAGGAGGCTTTTCTCGATGTTGTTGAACAAGGTGAAAGCTCAAAGACTGGCCTGCAATACTTGGACTGTTTGAAGAAGTTGCGGAGTGTTCAAGGTGGGAAACTGGCGAGTAGTGCTGGGGGGAACAAGAAGAAGAAGTTCCCGTAGGGGTTATCTTATAGTTGAGACGGGTAGAGAGCGAAGCAGTCATGGTCACCAGAGAGAGAACCGCGACAGGCATTGGGAAAAGCCAAAGAGAGAAACAATATTCTAAACGCTTTACTTACCCCCATGAACAAAGTGATGCTCGTCGACGAGCGCAGCAATACACCTGTAGAGGCATAGCAGCGACTTGTAAGAAAAGTGTGGGCCGGGTTGGACCGTCCAGCTTTGCCTTGAGATTGGCCCTAAGTTGGGCCAAGTTTCTGCTGGATAGAGTCATTTGTTCCGACAGACAAGGCATGTTGAGGCTTAAGAGAGCTAGCGGGTGATAAGTGGTGGAGGGGTGATCCAAGGCCTCCAATTATGATTCCGCTATGGAGAAGAAAAAAGTTGCCAAGAGGTGGGCGGCAAAAGTCAATATGTAGCAGGGATGAGCGTCGATCTAGGGCTGTGAGAGTGGGTTACAACGTCGCGACCTTTTGCCCTTTTGGGTACTGTACATGAGGAGGTTAGTTGTTCCAAAGAGGAAGTTGACAATGAGTCCCTCGAACAACGTGCCTTGAATTGATCCTTCCAACGGTCAATTCCATGCCCTGATTCGATCAGCGGTCAGATCAGGCACAGCCAGGGGGGCAGAATATGTCTCAAAAGGGCAAGCCATTTCTTACCAACTAACGATGACTGCGTCTTACCAGCGAGAGGGCAAGTCTTGGCTGGTGGACGGATGATGGATACCACCTTGGCACGTGTCCTGGCTGTTTCACACCGCTGCTATCTAGGAGCATGGCGTGAGCTGGGCTCGTCTCACAACCGAGGTCTGGATTGGGGGGACTTTGGTTCCAAGATGGAGAGGAGCAAGGTGCAGAGACGAAGAGTTTAGAGTCTTTAGCTCAACAATCTAGACTTGAGTTAAAGCAATCGCTTCTTGTTCGCAAAATAAAACTCCGGTTAGGTCATTAGCCATCAGATCTTGGAGAAGTGCACTCGAGGAAGGGTTGTTCATGGCATAATTTTCAATTCCTCCATAAGCTCATACTGTATGAAGACTGACCCGTTTCGTTCCCTTGATCTCATTCCCAGCCTCAAATGCTCCCGAAAAGCTCTCTAGGTGCTTGCGTTTCCTTGTGCGCCCGCGCTCTGGTTCTTCCTCTGGACTCTGAGTATCCACTCCCAGGTCGTCTGCTTCATAAGGATATAGTTCACCGTGGTAACCGCTATCATTATCCGCAGATACAGCTTTGTAGTTGTCTCTAGGCTCGCCGAGCCCTTTATCCTAATTATCCTCGTCTTGACCTGCATTACTCGCCGGCCTTTGCCTCTTTGTTGGGCTTTCACTCCTAGCTCTTGCCGCTTTTAGGGTCAATTTATACTTTGCAGGCTTTGCTCTTTTAATGCCGTATTGCCCTGAATACTTATCCCACATAAGGAGTAACCGGGGCTCCTTAGTCATATGAAGAAAGTCGCGGAAAACATTTGGAGAGAAGACAGTCCACGCAAATCGAGCAAACAAACAGTCCAAGGATGCCGCATAGACCCCAGGGTATGCCTCCCGGTTATACCAGAGTTTTTGTAGTTCGCCGCCTGGTATTAAATTGAAGACATATCCGACGACTAGGTAGTCTTCTTGTGTTTTTGATGTAGCCGCAGAATCTACTTTAGATTGTCATTCTGTCTGAGATGCTTCGCCTTAGGCCTCGGGCTGATGCTTGTCCGTCTCTAGACTTTCATTCCTAGAGCTGTCCCTATATGTGATACTATCGCCGCTTCCTCGGGTGCGGATCATCAAAGGCCTCCCATCCCGATGATCCGACTTTGGGACGAAGCAAAAGTTCCATTCGTTAAACATTCTATGGACATCTGTCCGCAGGGTAATAATATTCGTGGATGCATTCACTGCGTCTGTCGAGAACGATGGAGCCTTGCCGTAACTGGTTGAGATGCCTTAGTTCAAACGTCTGCAATGGAGCACTCTATCGGATACGTACTCTAGCATTCCATTATCATCGTACCAGCTCGTTTCCTTCACGGGCACAAGGTAGGCGGCGTCCAGGCTCAAACCACAATCCGTAAGGATGCAACGTCTCACGCTCCCAGGTGCCCCCCCGCGGAAATAAGGTCTCAATCTTTCCCAGCAAGGCAGAAGATTACAATGAGGGAATCGCCAGTCGCGGAAGCTAGCAACAATAGGGTATAGGTCGGTCAAGGTCGAAGAATCGGAGGACAGAGGGAGACAAAAGAAGTACGCCCTCTCTCAAAGAATACCATCTGCGGGTCACTGGACCCTCATCCTCCCTTCTCTATCAAGCGAGAAGTAGCCATCCCACCGATTTCCGGCTAAGACGCCACAGGTCATATGGGCAATATCGTAGTAAATGCCACCATCATCGAAGGCAGGCAGGGAAACCAAAGCATCGCGAATAGGCGGATAGGCGTTGGTTGAAATCGGTGTTTTTCCATAGCCGGGATGAAAAAACCTGATGGCATTCGGAGACTCGATGGTATTTCCATCGCCGCAGCGACTTACGTCGCTGAAGGCCCGGCGAACATTCAAAGGCATGTCGTCAGTCGTGATCTTTGAAGTTTAGTTGTGGTGGGGTTTGTTTTTTTTAATTACCAGAATCACGTTGCTCAGGACAACACCCCGTGCCAATGGCACGTGATCTGCCGAGGAAGTCCCGGCACGGCATTCCCACCGCTGAGTACACTCGAAGATCTGGCACGGCGCTTCTCTCTTGGAACCACCAGTAGCGAACAAGACGTTGAGACGTACCAGCGAATAGCTATAGAAGACCATATACGCAACATCATCGGGAAACTTTAGAAGATTTCCACCGCTCAAGACGAGTCCGGGCTCAGCGACAGGGGTTGGTTTGATAATCACACGAACGCCTTAAACACGAAATAAAGGTCGACGCCGTCTACCAGTCTAGCTCACGTCGCCCAAGGTCTAATCAATTTTCACTCCATCGAGTTGACGGAAGCACCAATTCCCTCCTCCTCACGACCAAGTATAAGGCACCTCATTAGCTATCAGTTAAGGACCTCTGGGCAAGACTCGGGTCCATGGAAATATAGGAGGAGCTTATCCAAAGGGACACAATCCCAATCCACCCAGCGGAGTACCAGATAGTGCTAAACGGTTAGCGGCTTCTGCTATAGTCTGGGTATATGATGCGATGATCGAGGGAGGGTGCGCATACTCGATATTGATAAATAGACGTACGCGAGTCCTCCTCTACGTGACATGTAACAACCCGGTCAGGTTATAATACCATCCCCGCGAGCCCAAGAAGGAGATAGACGGCGACGATAAGCTGAGTATAGAAAAGTAACCAAGATCTTCTATAGCGAGGGCGTGATAAGCTTCCGGTTTCCGCTGCGCAACCAGGAGAGACTCGGCCACAACCTCCTATATAGCAGGCCAGCTTCGACTATACCTACACTCGATCCTCAGGCTCAGTTAACACATCGAGGGCCGGGCTGCAACTGTAATAAAGAACAGATCTTCAACACATCATAACATCATGACCCGGTGTTAACACAGTGACCTTGAGCTGATTCGCATCGCCTAGAGCAGTAGGCGAGACGATGACGGACCCCAGGTACGCGAATCCGCCGAAGCTTTTGGCATATCCATGTTGCTGTCCGCTGATCTCCGAAAGTTGCCAGTGCCGACTGCTGACGTCGTTCACTACAGCGTAACCCAGAACATTTCCAAAAGCGTTCTCGCTCGAAGTCACAGTCCTGCAATCCTAGGCGATCATGACGGCCAGTTCGCCTTCATAGTCCATGTTGGTACACTCTAGGTAGACATAGTCATCGTCAAAGAGCCCGCTCAATGCACCCGGCGGCCTGGTGAAGACAGTGAGATGCTCTGGGGTGGGGAAGCGAGCCTCCGAAATATGGGTGTTGTAGTTGAGGCCAATCCCGGAGATGATGGGAACCTGCGGCAAGAGACTCAACACCTAGAAGAGAGATGAGTTACAGATCTCAAGGGTTCTTGTTAAAAACTCGTGACTCACTTTTGATATCTAGGCAGTTGTTGTGGTTGCCTTCAGGTCCCAGGCATCATCTCCGGCGTACACCGGAACCTCTTGGCCGACCAGGTCCCCCGGCGATGGCGTTTCCCCATAAAGAACACGGCCACTGTGATCCCGGAAACGGACCAGACGTTCAAAACTGTTGTTCATGTTTGGTGTTGATCGATCCCTAGCTATCTTTGGGTGGGGAGCGGGATCGGGCTCACTCTAGTTGTTTGGTCTCTTCAAGCAGTTATTACCTTGCCCACCGATTGGCTCGGAACGCCGGTGTGCTGGCTGGTCCAGCGGAACGATGATTTAGTGCCGCTACGTGCGTGACCGAAGATCCGTTGACGTTTAGTTCAAGATTGTTAAACACAATAGACTGCTATGTATATGGTAAAAGTCGAAGATATCTTCTAATAGGTGTCGTTGTATCAAGGGTCATATTGCTACACGACATCTCCCCCCATTTTGCAAGCATTTATTCCGGCGAAATGCCCTGTGTGACCCTTTGGCCTAGCAGTAACCCAGTGTTGGCAGAGACTTTGGCATGCAATAGCTCAAGGCAACTGAAGGCGAGGTTCGAATCTGCAGCCTTCGTAGCTCGCGGTCTGCCCATGCTGGCTTAATCTGAGCAGTTACAGTGCAGGTTACAGGTGGTTAGCCTCCCGGGCTCATAACTGTCGTACAGAGCGCCTACGGTCACCTTGAAGCATGAAAAACGTTAGTTGAAAGAGCGTCGTTTTCCTGAAAATGAGGGCATCGCCTAATGCGGTGATCTAACACAACACAGCACTCATATTATGCCCTGTTGGTCCTGTAGTACTCATAGACTAGAGATCATGTTGTCGTTTGGTTGGAGAGTCATGTGAGCCTGTCTAGTTAGTCCAACTGGCAGTCTCCCTGTGAGAGGGAGCAAGATGATGGCTAAACCCCAGACGTGGTCAGTTCTGAACGGCTTGACCCCCCTCATGTGGGTGGAAACCTGTCTAGGCTTTCTTTCCTCCCCCTACCTCCCTACACGGCCACCCTCCCATCCATAGACGCTGCAATCAGCCAAGTTCGGGCGTCTTTGCCTACACTTGGTGTGAACGCTTGTGGAGGAAACGCGGGGAGTAGCATTTAAGCAGGAGTCACAGGTCTTAGGGTTAGGGGAGTCCGGGTGGGGCTCCAGGAGTCAACGGTCCAGTTCCGGACTCCGGCCGATCTAGTAGTCAAAGGTCTGTCAGATTTGGGGTGGACGACAAAACATCAAGTTAAAGCCGGACGTGAACTTGAGGCCTGGTGGGATAAAAGGATGGTTTTATGGGGTGATATGTGACCTTTCACAGTCGGTATAGCGGCCTTCGACTTGTCCAGCTTCTGCGGGGGCGGCTGGTCAGGATCTACAGCGAGCCCCTACTACGTAGTCACATCTCTGTGTTCCCCGTTCTCCGGCCTAAACGCCGTCCGGAAGTCACATATCTTTTCCCCGGGACAACCAGCCAGGATGGAAATTCTCTAATCAGGGACCCCGCCCTCTGGTCGTCTTTATCATGGACGCTGGCTTCCGAGGCCTCGCTACTGCCCCGAGAGGTGCGACGGTTCGTATCTTCGAGTCATCTACCGACAAGAAGAAGCAGGTTGAGCAAGTTACTTGGAGGCACAATTGAGTTGACTAGAAACATTTTGCGAGAAGCTGAAGCTCAGTGTCCCCAAATTAGATCCAGGGGAGCAACATAGGGTAGGCTATTTTACCAATACATTGAATCGGTGATCCCGGTCCATCCATAATAGAATCTGTGAGGATTTATGGTTCTGAGATTAAACTCATGTATTCTGGAATTTATCTATTCTCTTCAAGTCACCTGTGCACTTTGACGAGGATGCCGTCTACGCAATACGTATCCACTCCACCTGCCCGTTGAGACGCAAAACTCTTCTGATTTCAGTCTCTCTCTCCTTGGCTACTTTTCTTTGCCAAATACTGAGTCGATAAACTCGGGCGTAAAGTTGCCCTCCGAGTCCAGGTGCTTTCTGCCTTTGACCAAAGATCCATGATGACTTGCTTGTGACCTGCAGAGCGTTGCTTAATGTCGCATCTAAGAATCTGTCAGCCCGTGTCGTTGCGCTCGTACAAAGCTGACTCACTCAAAATCCTCGGGCCTCACAATCAGACCCGGCGTCACGGCATCGCGGTTGATGGGCACGATAGCACCCCCAAAGTCTCGCGTAGGATTGATAGTGAATCCCTATAGAATACGGGAGATGGCGAGGAATAGGTTACGCTCGGAGACGTGGAAACCAGGGCAGACTCCCCGCCCTGCACCAAAGTTAAAGTGAAGTCTTCTAGTAGTCTTAGCTGATAGCGGTGTTTTTAGTCAAGATCGTGTCGCCAGTTTGTCGCATGGGGTTTAAAGGTCTCGACTCCTTGAACTGTTCGTGATTCAGTGTCCAGACTTTTTAAGAGCCAGCCAGTTAGTAATTGCCACCATTACTCATCAACAGAAAACACCGGAATTCATCATCACCATGGACCTCTTCGAAATGACCATGCCGTTATAAACATCGTCTTCCTTGTCCGAGTGAGGGACAGCAGCACTCGGCGTACTCGGTACCCCTGGTTGGTCTGTCAAAGTCTTTTTCTCTGTTTCCATCTCAAGTTGGAAACGCACATCTAAAGGTTTTTTCCACAACACCATGAATATAAGGCAGATCCTTGCGATCATTCCATTCTGGAAGTAGGCCGTTGCCGATGATCGAACCGATTTCCTCTTGGGCTCTTTTCTGAGCTTCAGGAAAGAGAACCATGGCCTATTTGCCAGTTAGTACCATCACCGTACAGCGTGCTCTCATATATGTACCTTGATGAAGCCTAAGATTGTGTTGTCCGAAGTATCCTTAGGAAGAGAGAGTTAGCCTTGACTGTTCAAGATAGAGCCAGGGACGAGAAAATGTTTATATGGCAGCCCTAATACCATGGGCTGCATTATGGGCTATCTGTTGATCATCGAGTCGGTCTGCGTCTTTATCCAGTCACATATTGCCGATGAAACCTAGTAATCGAGTTCAGCACACGCCGATTTTACTCCATGAGTCTGTTGACGAACTGGGACAAGTTTTCCACTTTCTATCCTCGCCTTGACTCGGTTCAACAGCTGGGTAAAGACACGGTTCTCTAGGCTCTAGAGATCGCGAAGGCTTTTTTACTAGCGAGCATCCAGTAAGGCAATGAATGATAAGGAACGTAAAAAGCGATAGAAACCCACCAGTTGAAAGTTGGCGGCCTCGGTGGTAACGTCCATCCACTGTCATCGTTAGGAGATCTTGTAATGCCATAAAGCTCAGGATACGTACCTCAAGCAAATCCTTCACGTAGCTTGTGTCGGTTGCTAGAGTCCTCCAGCCGTAGAGCAGTGCCGTGGAGATGATTGCTGTATACCGCTGCACATGCTGGACCCAGCCCTCAGGCCTGACGGCGAGATCGTTGACGACCTGCATAGTGTCAAATGCCTGGTATGGGAGATATCTGTCTGCTGACTTGAGATTAAGACGGACGTGATACATTTTTCTCTGCTGGTGCCAGATGCCGTCATTACTACACCCAAGAGTTAGTTTGCATCATGTCACACTGAGGAATTTGGGGCCCTCAGTCGCAAAAGGCAATGTTGAGGTTATCGCCAAAACTCCGAATGTAAAGGTCTGGACGACAAGAGTAGTGATGCTGCTCTTCTTGATGAGGTTTCTAACCACAGTAGGATCAGTGGGCAGGAATAGATTTTGCAGGACCATCTTCACCTCTCGTTAGCTCAACTTGCGAATGTCGATTATGGTGAGGTTCTGACATTGTTGTGCCAGCTTCTGGAACTCGAGATGAAACTTTTTAGTTAGCATTTGATGCAGGTTGCCAAGAATAGGCAATGTAGGGGGCGCCGGGGCGGTTGTTAGCGTCTTGACATGCATTCAAAGCACAACAGCGGATCTACCTGGAGGGAAGCTCTTGGGCCTGCTGCCATACTGCAGGACTTTGATGGCAAACAAAACCAGGCACAAGGCCGCGAATGAGTATTAATAAAAGTATAAACCTCCTGCCGTGGCCATGATGTCTTGTGATGATGGACCCTGATGCCGTATCAACAGACTTGAACTAACCCAGGACCTTAATTTATCAACTTTGCCAGAGCTCAATGATACTCGGCCCAAATCTCCACGTCTTTCCACCTGATCCGGAAAAGGGAAAGGGGGCAGCCGGGCTCCGACGGATGACAGAACTGTTGTTTTAGGGGAGCCAGTCAATGTGGGATAAAATATAAATCTTGATACTAAGCGAGAACAAACCTGAATAAGTTGATACGGACCCAAACCTTGTGAGAATCTTTGTCGAAATTCAATCTCTGCACGCCATGTCGTGGAAATTCCCTTTCGAAAACAAGATCATCGTAGCCAAGAGTGGTAGATCTAGTGAATGCCCAGCTCCTGTTGGTCATGTCACTCTCACATGCTAACACGACTGTCACTCCAGGCATCGGGCTTTCATATGCCCTTCTCGCTGAGAAAAAAAGGGGCAAAGGCCGTCTCGGTCGCCAGCATGAGCCTCGCCGATGAATTCAAGCTCGCCGCCAAGGATCACGCTTCGATTGAGTTCACTCAATGCGATGTGACGAAATGGAGCGACCTTCAGAATGTAATTGATGTATCCGTTGACAAGTTCGGAGTCGTCCTAGAGGTATTTGTTTTGTCAGCTGGAGTTTTTGAGCGGGCAGGAATGCTCCCTACTGAAGTCGAAGAGAGGATGCGTGCTCAAAGAAGACGAGACTCTGATATTCCTGGCTATAGGCTTCTATGGCTATAGAAGCTTAACTTAGGTTAACGGTGTTTTGCAGCGTTGGGTTTTGATGCTGCTGTGTGACTTGAAGTGTGTTTTTTGGTCATGTTGCTGACAGCGATGTCATTGAAAAACAAAGAGAATATTCCTGGCTACTTGGCGTACATGCATAGCCCTAGTCCAACCTCTGGGAGGATCCTGAACCCCTCGAGAGCAACAGCTACACGCATGTTGACATGAATGTCAACCACCCAGTCAGTACTCCCCATTATCAAGCTCTAGACGAAATATTCCCTAAGTATTTTAGTTTAGATCAATCTCACAAGGCTTACCATACGCGCTCTCCTAGGCAAGCATCAGCAAGGCGTAGTAGTCATCATTAGCTCCATCGCAGGGTACAGGAACCAGTACCCAGCGTTCATCTACAGCGCGACAAAGCACGCTATTATAGGCTTTACCAGGAGTCTTAGGTCTACTCAAGACGTGCAAGGCGTCAAGATTATCTATGCCTATCCAGGGCTTTTGACCCCGGCCCCTCCCGCGAAGCTTATGGAATCTTCCTTAATGACCACCTGGAACAGGATTGTGACGACTCCCATATGGACAACCGGCACACTTGGGCCCGGGGAGCGACTTAGAGTAAATAGCTCTCTTGCCATCACCTTTAATGAGGTGGCAGAGGCAATAGGCGACGCCATGGAGTTAGCAGAATATCTAGGTAGAACTATATTAGAGGTATCCAAGGAGGGAAGAAGAGTTATTCCAGAGTGGAATATCAAACCACCCGGCTTAGTCCATAGACAGATGGAGAAGGGTACAACTATCCCATCCGAGGCGATTCTTAAGACCCTAAGGCCAATCCTAGCTCGCACAGCTATTGAGAAAGGTCGCTTTGAGCGAGATATGTCTCCCGGGGGCAGCGGCCTCCGACTCAACCATAGTCTAACCACCGGGAATTCTAGTTAAAAGTTACCCAAATTGGTCAATATTCATACGTTTTAAGGAAGATCTATGACTAATAATAGTACATCATCCTTCCGTCAAGTGTAGCAATGAATCTCATATAACCAAGTACCAAGCCGCATTCTACTAGTAGATCGACACAACCTACTACCATAGCAACCGTGAATATCGCTACAAAAAACGGCAGCGGAAGTCAAGCTTACAGACGACACCGTACTCATCATTGAAGCTGGGCCCGTTGGCCTAATGACGGCGTCAGTGCTAGCGTACTAGGGGTGAAATCAGTCATCTTGGAGAGGAACCAGGAACCCACTAAGTGAGCCAGCTAGTACTAGGATATAGAGATTAGCTGTGTTGAATCTAACAGGTAGTAGATGGCCAAAGATAGATTTGGCCAATGCACAGTCTATGGAACTGTTAGGGAAGATCGGGCTAGCAGACAGTCTTCGTGAGCGAGGTAAGTTCAATCCTTTTGCCAAGGAGGACTCGCAGCACTTAACTCACGCTATCAAGTCAACTCAGGTATACCCAGCAACATTCTATACACAGTCCTCATATCCACTAGACTCGGTCACGATGCCGCCTTCACCCAATCGGACCACCCCTCAGTCAATGAGTACAAGGAGCAGATCAAGGCCAAGAACGATAGAACTCAGCCTCTAAGTCGTATAAGCGAGTATCCGAGCAGATCCTTTAGACGTAGATGAGAGATCTATGCCAGGATAACTCACTCGTCAACCTTCGGTATAGACAAAAGCTTAATTCGATCAACGAGACTGAAAGTGGGATAGAAGCAAAGATTACCACCACCGACGATGTGGAGTCTTACACATACCAAGCTAATTACGCTATGTCATATAATAGAGCGTCGAGTAAAAGTCGCAAGAGCCTAGACATTGGCCTCGAAGGTAGCCCAACGTAAAGGACTATGTGCTTCTATTCCACATCATTTTTACTAGCCAACACAAGGCCAGGTTCATTCCTCCTAATTCACTTTGAGTCCCGCGATCTCGAGAATCTACACAAGCAAGGTCGCTTCTGGTATCTCTTTCTCTTCAATCAAGGTGCATTTGGCGGTGTCGTCATCTCTCAGGATGAAAAGGTCAGTTCCCGCCAGTCTTTATTCCAAGCATAACAGAGGGCTAACAAACGCTCTATACTCTCTAGAATATCTTCACTATTCATTGCTCCCTCGGCCCTAATATAGACAAGTATTTAACGAGCTCCGAAGATGCCATGGACACCGTGCTTAGGGGAGCTCATAGGCCATTCAAGATCAAGATTAACAAGACCCTCGTACGTTCTGCTTACCGTCCCGGCACCGAGGTTGCAAAGTCATTCGCAGGCCCCGGCCTACGGATTTTCCTCGCAGGAGACGCCGCACATCAGAACGATCTTCGGGCTCAGTTAACCCATCAAGGGCCGGGCTACAACTATAATAAAGAACAGATCTTCAACACATCATAGCATCATAACCCGATATTAACATAGTGGCCTACTTAAACTTCTATAATAATAGAAGAGTCACACCAAGACATATCATCATGAAAGGTCTAGTCTCTCACGGGTATTTTAACTACTCTAACCTCCATATAAGAAACAAGAGAATTAGGTAGTGGCTATTAGGGTGAGTCAACCTGTGAGGAGTATGGGCTTAGTTAGAGCTTAAATGCAACATCTCGGCGAATTGCCAAACTTTAGTTAGCGCACATATCATCTTTAAACACAATGGTTTCTAGCTGCCAATGAGTCCCCATAACCGCCCCGTAACTTTCCATGTATCTCTATAGTGGATAACGATTATTATAAGTCATTTCCATGACTATCCCCATATACGCTCATGCGCATGGGCATCTATGACCGCCCCGCCGCTTTAGATAGGTAGGCCTTGCGCTTAAGTTTACGGGTCATTTCCACAGCCATCTCCATTAAAGATCAGGTTTAGGTCAGCCCTGCAAATCACCCATCGGTAGATTTTGCACCTTACCTAGCATTCATCACCATAAGGAAGTCTATGAAGCTACACTGAGTAAACGCCAAGATACCCTGCTAGACCTGCGCAAATGCCGGCCAACACGTATGTAGCCACTGCGTTTCAAGTCCTATCGAAGGTTATTTATTGAGACTAGAGACACACATGCGTCTCATGCTATGTCATTCCTACAGCAGATAAAAGATAATTCCTATTGACTAGTTCCATCCGAAGCATAGACATATCTTAAATGTGATGCTAGATGGTATATTAGATACTAGGGGAGTCTTAACATCCAACAGCGAACTACAGCGGGCATGATTTCTAACCGTATAATCAGCCTCTATTAAGAAGCCCACTTCTACTAATAATAAATCAAGTAATTTCTTTTGTCCCAAACGGGGAATCCTTCTGCGAAGCTAATTTGGCAGGCTGGCCGGCGGGTGTCATTAGGTATCCTTGCGCCGGAAGCAGTGTTTAAAAAGCTAACCGCTAGAAAGAAATCAAAGAATCCTAGAGACAGTTCCTTAAGTCGGGGTTCCTACTGCACTAGGTTCTTAAACGGCCGAATTATATAAATAACTATATTCTCCTCTACAGCTGGCCTCTCTCTTACACTCACTCACACTCACTCACTCACACACACACACACAGAGTTTACAGCATTAGGTTTTAATATTATCGTGTGTCTCTTCGTGTGTTTTTTGATATTGTGCCAGACACTTATGTCATTGAAAAAATAGAAAAATACACACACATATATATACACAAAGCGAAGACGTAAGATTGACCATAAAGGATTGTTTCCTGAGATATAGTCGTATGGTCTGAGTTAAGGCAGCCTAGGAAAATTCCAACATCTATGGATAGCTCAACGCACGCCCTTCTTTTGTTTCGTCTCAATCCTCCTCCACAAGTTATGACCTCAGCCCCCTGCTTGACTCTTTCTCGTCTCCATCTTCTTCCGCCAGCTAGAATCACAAAGAGTTTTAACTCTTTTCCATCTCATACTATCTCACAAGGTAGAACCCCAGCGTTCTCTTTGACTCTTTATTATCTTCACTCGGTTCAACTGTGCTAAAACGCATTCTTTCTTCCCGGCGTCCCCCATCACTCCATTATCTCTATCTTCATTCACGATTCGGAAGCACACACAACTCATTGATTTTCAACACTTATAACATACCTCAGACCGGAAAGAGACATCGACCAGACGACAGAAAGCAAGCGCCAAGATAGGTACAGTCAGGTACTTCAACCCCGACGCAGTTCATCACACAAACAGCTTAAGTAACTAGGATACTCATGAACACACGAAAGTATAAATAAACGTCAGGCCCGCAACCTACAGCAGAGTTTTAATCACTAAGACGACCGGTCAAGGCCGCCTACCGTAATAGGACGAAGACTCCTTAGGCATAGTTTAGACGTAAATTAGAGCTTATGTAAGTTAATACTAGTCATCGTCTTCGAGTTTCTATCATACAAAGCCTAGCTAAAACTTATATCTCTCGTATTGAGGCTATAAGAGGATCAGCGATATCGAGGAGCATAGCGAGTATTATTCATAACATATTATTTAAATAAATTCCGGTCTTATGTCCAGCTAAGTATTGGAATTATTTATCGCGACTTCAATACCTTAGTCGAGTCGCAAGGGTGCGACCTATCAAGGTTAACTGCATAGTAAAAGCTCGGGCATTGAAATATCTCGGATACCATAAGCTTCATTACAAGTATCTTATCCCTTCAACCCGATGCCAAGGGGAAGGGAAATACATCAAGTTGATCTGGAAGCTCTAGGGTGGGTCCTTTGATTCACGGAGCGCCTTTTCCATGTTGTTATCGTTCTACCAGAATATTCTTCATTTCAACGCTGTGATCAATTCTGATAAATTTCTTTTCGCGTGTAGTCATGTTCAAATCGTGTGAGACTAGATCATTTCTTTCATCGCGAATTCTTAGCCGTGACGCCGGAAAAACCACCCTTCTTTGGAGAGGTTGTGTAAAGCTGATTCTCTTCGGCAATGGTGAAAGAAGACCAGGAAGAAGGTGTGCTTACCAGAGAAGCCGCTAACAGTTGTGCTGGTCAGCGGGTGATGGTAAGGCTTTCCCTGGAGATTGAAGCTGTGATGTTTGGAAGGCACTGGCAGACATGGATCGTGACGTTGGAGAGACTTGAGATGTCTGAGCCACCGCAACTGATATCGACGAGGCTGTTGCCTTGGGGGGCGTATCCGTCTAGTCCAAAAGCTTGTCCTCCAAGGTTTCGATGCCTTGAGTCTGCGAGGGCTCTTATTCGAGGGGAGCCCCAGTTGAGCTACCTTATCAGGCGAAAGGTGTCCTTATCCTTCTTCTTGGTGCTATGGTGGTGGATCGCCTTCCCGGTGTGCAGAGGTCGGCCCCAGCTTCGCTTGTTTGTTTCTGTGTAGTGGCCGTGGATGATGTTGCTGGCATCCCCGAGAAGGCAAAGTATGCTGTGGCTAACATGGAGGTAGGGTCAGTCTTTTTGTGGTTGAGACTTAATCAATTTTTCTTTTAGGGGGAGATAGGCGGCGTCTTTCTCGGGGCAAGCTCGATGGTTAGGCGTTGGGCCTGTCGTTCACTGTCGATGAAAGGAGTTGGGGGTCCCGTCTTTGTAGGGCACTAGTATAGTTATAATACTGGCTAGATAATGCCTTTGCATTGTTTGGCACGCTTATCAGAGGTATTCTTAGAAGATAATAATGATATATTGGTGCGTCCTTGGTTCTGGCCGAGTTTCAATTATGCACGTGTTGAGTATTCCAACGTACTAAGTTATTCATCTGGTGAACTAGTTGACTCTCAAAATAAGCCATTAGCTACAATAATAAAAAACACAAATAGCCGGCGCCCGGGACCAAGGAATTGGGCCATGTTCGGCCGGCCGAGGCCGAAAGGTAATAGAGAAGGGGGCAGGCTTGCTGATTGACTTGTCGGAATTTGGTTTTAGACGATAATAATCGCTAGGCTTAAGATGATGGATGATGGATGGAGAGTGTCTAGGAGGATTATTGGGGGTATAGTGGCTAATAAAAAAAATCCCTTGCTCCTGAGGTTAGGCGGAGGTGTAGGGTAGGCCGAGCTAAAGGAATTAGCCACCGCTATGTCTGGTTATACTCCGTACTGGGACGATGAATTTACCACTCAGCAACCTTAAGTCAAGCGAGGGAACTTAGTAGGGACTTTGGCAACGCTATTGAGACGTCGACCTACGACTAAAACAGTCTTGGGCTATTTGCATACCCGTAGCATGGTAGTGTTTCAGCATGTTGACCTAGGTATCTCATGTTATCAAATCTGCCCTGCCCAAGCTTTGTCGGCATGGTGGCGAAATGATCATAGCTACGTATACTGCGAATAATTATCATCCATCACTTCTATGTGTAGGGCTATGGAGGATGAAGTCAACCAGTTATCCCTAGGTACACAGTCCGTTATTATTGAGCGAATGTGAGCGCACCTGCTTATTCTCCGCCTCACAAAGAGGCCTTGACGGCCTTCTGGTTGAGACGCCATGGGTTGGATTCAGCAAGCAACCGCAGACAAAGAGGGCCGCAACGCCGATGGCTCAGCTTCATTCTTGAAGCCTTTGACGTGAAGGCATGGCTCACGGCACCAGATAAACTGGTCGTGGCTGTGCTAACATGTGGCTAACCCAAGTGCGCCGCCACCAATGACGTCAACACCGTTGAGCTCCCAGGTTCCACGTGCCGGAGATCAAAAACCGAGATCAGAACGGAAGGAGGCAAAAGGTACATCTTGGCAGATAGTGGGGTATCCTATCACGTGACTCTGAAGTGACAGAATTCTGGCTACCACGTGATACGAAGATACGTATCTTTCTGCCACCCTGCAGCTCTTGCGAGCGGCCCACGAAAAAAACAGCACGTCGAGCGCTGGACAAGGGATCAGATGTGAACTTGTAAACCATTGATAAAGCCAGCGTCTCGTTTCGGGAAGTTGACATTTACTCAGTCTCGCGGTCCGCGTATCTCTAGCAAGGTGTTTTATTATTGGGTTCCCATTCTATCAGGTATCAACTGTTGTGTTCTCGTGACCTCATGCGTGATGACTCTTTGGGACGTTATCATGCCACCAACAAGGTTGATAAAACATCCATGGGCTGGGAGGCACTATCGGTCATAACGAGCCTTGCAACAGGTACCGAGGCCAAACGTCTCGTCCTGCTACACGATATCGGTGGCATAAGCTGGCTGAGACTCCCAACCCATACCGCCCCTGGAGCCGTGTGGAACATGGATGCCCTGGGAAAGCGGATTGACCGACGCGGCCCTACGGATAGAAGCGAGGTAGTCATACAACTTGGCGAGATACCAAAAAGGGGTTCCATGATAAAAGAATCTTGGTGATTAAAAGGCGAGGCCAAGATATATCGCTTCGCAGTAGGCGTCTGGGGTTCAAGAGCCTTTAGTTGAGTGCCGGAGGAAGCATCCATCTTCCATTGATGCTG